TTAAAAAATTAATAGTTATATCTAAAATGAATGTTTTATTCCACATATAAGTACCTACAAAATTAACGTAAAATGTTTGGTAATAATGATGTTATAGTTGATAAATAGCGATCATTAATTACCTACACAAAAACAACACTAAATGTCGTATATTATTTTGGGCTGTCCATAAAAATAGTTCATTCTTGTATACGAGTAGTGTTACAAAGATTACATACAAAATTAATTTGATTGAATTCTGTTTATTTAAAATTTTTGTAACCATCATAAAAGTTTGGATACTTATTCTTACCAGTCAACATTTTACATATAATAAGGAATCTGTGACTGCTCCTGGGTTGGTACGAGGGTACCTTCTGCACTCCCGCCAGGAACGGCCCTGCAAACAACACGTCGCCTTTGTAGGTTCGGGTTACCAGACCTATCGCTTTAAGTATTTTTGCCCTAGGTCGAAACGCTGCCACGAGAGCAAAATTCTTGGACAGGCCTGCACTAGAGTCATGGAACTGATAGCCATTGTTAATGCATTCGTATGAAAGTATTTAAAAACTTTAGCAAGTGTATTGCGTGGGGTTAAAGAACGTAGTCGCGAATTGCATATACAGGGTGTTAATTTTAACTCGAGCACCTAAATTATTTCCGCTACTATTGAAAGTAAGAAAAAATGACTAAATAGGATGTACATGATTTTAAGGCGTGCATCTGTTGGTGATAAAATGTTTTTTACTTCTTATTACGTTTATTTACTTCTGCATTCTTCAAACTGAAGGTGATTTCTTCGCCTTCAAGGTCATGGTGTGTAGGTTGTTGAACTCATCTTGACGCCGATTACCACATCGCGTTATAAAAAATACATGTCAATATGCAAAAAAAAACGATGACCTTGAAAACCCCGTTAAAATGACTCACAGGATTTTTTTATCACCATCAGATGCACGCCTTAAAGCTATGTTCATCCTATTCAGTCATTTTGTCTTACTTTCAGTACTAGCAGAATAATTTAGGTGCTTGAATTAAAATTAACATACATCGGTTGCAGGTATACGACCCCCGGGGGTTGGAAGAGCCTGGCCTCCTCTCAGGTTCAGAGGGAGAGAGTCGATAAAGGTGGACGGAGGGTCGTACCATTTCATCGACGCTCTACCACTCAGTGGGATGCTTGTCCCTCTGTCCCTGCTAATGCCCCCAGGTGGGTAATTTCTGCCCCGATATCAACTGGAGAACCATTTCTCTCATATCTTAATAAATTACTGCAGTAATGCCAACTTCATGTGACCGTTATGATGCCATAACGTCATCCTTTAATTCACATTGCTTTTAAAAGCTCCGCCATTTATCTACCGTACGAGTAACTAAATCTGATGCACGAATAACGCATTAATCAAACATCATTACACAGTTTTGGTTTCTTTCACTCATTCCTGGATGGGCAGGAAGAGGAGTAGTCTTGTTTCTGGCCGAGAGATCATTGACAACTTGTATACAAGACGAACTCCACATAAAGTTTAATCATGATGCGGATTTCGCCACTTTACTGCACATATGAATATATTTCGTATATATGTATACTAATACAAACTGTAGTAACCACCATAACTGTGCAGTTAGGGAAGTCATAGAAAAACGCGGATTTTACAAACATTAATGATTCCATATTTTCGTCCTCCCGATCCTTATATCCAAGACTTCTATGGTAATGCTTCGCATGCATCATTGGTGTCGTAGCTTCAGCATGATCTCTGTAAATGTAGTACATATATTATGCTTTATTTTGTCATCTTGGTTCTATTTAGCATTTTTCAGCTTGCCGGTGCCAGTTTTGTTCATTAACTCGTTCACTGCTGATTAAGTCACACGCATATATAGTAAAAGTACGTTTCAACTTAGATGCAAGATGTACGCAGTGAACATGTTAAATTAAAATCATTATACTAAAAAACACAGACAGAGACATTTTCCGAGGCAATAGATTTTATAAAACAACTAAGGAATGGTTGTAGTGTACAGGGAAGTATTCAATACAAAGATGTTTCCATTTGTGTTTTCTAGTACAGTCACACCACAGACGAGGTATAGGAGTAGACATTTCATTCAATGTATTTTTGGGGCCTACCTTTCTGGGGTTATGTTACCCCATTTCCATTTTAATGTTACTACCTACCACAGATCCACCGTTTTCATAACGTAGAGGTCGCTAAAATAGACTTTTTAAGGTGTCGGTAATACAATTCAGGTGGGCAACCAACTTCCAGAAGATGAAAAGTCTATTCTTATACCTCGTCGGTGGTAACACCTTGAATACTTAAATGATCGACCAGAACTAATAACTTCACGTTTAACTTGAACAGGTCTGTATTGAACAGAACAGAGGCACCAAGTACACCACCAGGTGGACCTCCCTCTTATTCGAGGGGACCACCAACAGGAGGAGATTGCCTACCAGTTCCATCTGTTGGCTCGCCAAGTTCACCTGCACCTTCACCTCTTCCAACTCCACATTCCGAGCCAGCGTCTGTTCCACCAGCAGAACCCACGATGCCCACTCTGAGTCCTCAGCCACCACCCAGTCATACAAACACTGCCCCACCGTTAACTCCTTCACAAGGGCCAAAGTCGACCTCCTCTGCATGCAATAATCAAGTGCATAGTCCAGCTCCCGGGCCAACTTTGAAACGACCAATTTTAGTCTCCAGAGAATGTGAGGATATGTATTTAGAAAATGAACAGTCATTACCGTGGCTCTACGACTACTCGACGCAAGAAGCATGGCTCAACCATCCTGTGAAACGTTTTAAGGAATCTAATTGTAGTCCAGTCAATGTGCGGAGCAATACTTTGTATCCACCAATGAGTTCCCAGAATTCTCAGTCTCAGGCTCCAAAATTAGAAATTAAACAAGAACCAAATGTGAATGTTGTAAGTTATTTTTCTCATTCGTGAGAAATATCATTGATATATCATATCGTATATAAATCTTATTCGTTCTTCACAGGGAGATTGCATCGGAAGAAGAACAGACCCTTACGAGTTTGATGCAACAGGTGAAGAAAACGGTACAGGCGTCGACGGACTTAGGCGACAACGAGACGATCCCACTAAGCCTGGATCTTTGTTCACCAGCGAAGGTCTTCAAGCATCCTATAAAGATTTAGACCAAATCTTTGATAATTCCGATCCGGATACTTCTAGCGATGAAACTGTATGTACCAATTTTAAACGTCAACTTTCCTTTTGCGTTAGCAGAATAAAGTACATGAATATGTCCTTGCAGAATTTGAACCAGCTTCAAGTGCAAACCCCACCGGAGTCGAACAGATCCGGTGGACTACACGAAGAAACACGGGTAGACGCCAGCAACAGACATAACAACCGAGGTGTGGGTGTGCTACGACCAGAAGAGCTTTCCAAAATGTTCCCGACACCGCCATCCTTAGAGCATAATCCGGTCGCTTCACCGTGTCAGCTGAACGACCCTTTAATGGACCAGACGGACCTTTCTGTAACTCAACGACCGCTTAGGCATCTCCCAGACATCTATCCGAACATGGGATCCCCGCAGGAAGAACCAATCGACGATTGGTCCTACGTGTTCAAGCCTGCACCCATCTGTAAGATGGTTGGTTCTTCAAAGTACGCGCCTCTCACGAATTTGCCCAGTCAATCTTTACCGCCCGTCACACTGCCATCGCACTGCGTATACAGACCTTCCTGGCAGTGCAATCCCACACCGAACAATTCAGAGAAACCGCTTCCACCCACGAGACCTGGTTCGGTTCAACAACAACCTTGCCCGCCGAGCCCGGCGCCATTGGGAGCGCCGTATCGCTCAGCAACCATTTCCGGTAGACCGCCACCGCCACCATACGATCAACCGAGCCCGGCCACATCCACCACCTCGTCGTATTTGAACAAAAACCTGAATAGTATTGAAGCCGACACACCGGGTCCTACACGCGCCCCGGAATCGAACTCTCTTATAGTGAACATTCTGTTAGGCGACACGGCGCTGAACATCTTCCGCGATCATAACTTCGACAGTTGCAGCCTCTGCGTGTGCAACGCAGGTCCGAAGGTAGTTGGTAACATCAAAGGTGCGGACGCGGGTGTTTACCTGACCCACTCATGGTCCGGAGGAGCTCTGTTCCAAGATGACGATCAGATCAGGTGTAGCTGCGGTTTTAGCGCGGTGGTAAACCGACGACTGGCTCATCGAGCGGGCCTGTTCTATGAGGATGAAATGGAGATCACCGGTATCGCGGAGGATCCAGCGGAGAAGAAGAAAACGTCCTTGGTCGCCGTTGCGTGCGGAGGAGGGAAAACATCGGAAGGGTTAGATATGATACCACCAAACGTGTTGGAATTGCTGAGGGAACAGTGTTTAATTGTCCAGAGCTCTGCGAGTAGTCTGTACAGGGCGTCTAGAATTTACGCGTCGATGAAGGGTTACCCTATGCTCGCACCCACGGTGAACATGTTAGAATTTAACGACGGGAACGAAGTTTCGCTAGCGGCTCTGGATCAGGGTAAAATTGACGGTACGCATAACGAAAGGACTAATCGCGTGAACGGTGTGCATCGATGGGTGTTCCTTAGAGCAAAGGGTCCTCAGTGCAGCGGTGATATCGTTAGGATGATGAGAGCCCTACAGCCGCTTCTTCAAGATGCGGTACAGAAGAAGTGTACCACTCGAATGTGGGAGGCACCGTACACCGTCGCCGGGCCTCTTACCTGGAGGCAGTTCCATCGTTTAGCCGGTCGAGGGACCGACGACCGCTGTGAACCTCAACCGATACCTGCGTTAGTTGTCGGCTACGATCGGGACTGGTTGTCTTTATCACCTTACGCTCTAAGTTACTGGGAAAAGTTACTTCTAGAGCCATACGCTGGGCCCAGAGATGTCGCCTATGTAGTAGTAGCGCCAGACAACGATTGTGTCATCAATAAAGTGAAATCATTTTTCCGTGAATTATCCACCACGTACGATGTAAGTACGGGGTTTTTGTTGTGACGTATATCCAGATGTTATCATATTTAATGCTGTCAATCGTTTTCAGATTTGTCGCCTGGGAAGGCATACGCCCATCTCGAAAGCGCTTCGCGATGGTATTCTTCGGGTTGGCAAATCGTCCGTGCAAAAACAAACGAAACAACCGATAGACGATTGGTTTAAACTATTAGGAGAGAATCAATTGGGAGAACTCTTGCGGCTATATGCCCAAGTTTGTAACCACCGATTAGCCCCATATTTGACGCAGGTAATACAAGACCGAAGTCTGTTAGATCCTGGTGACTCGCAATCTAATAAGCAACAACAGCAACAGCAAACGGCTATTCCTGTTACTGACACGATGCCAGCCACGCCTGACGTAATGACCAGCAAACCTGAATCCGTTGGTGGGTTTTAATGCGTGATGTGTACTTCTGTATATTAGTATTGTCGTGCATTTATTAATTTTAATGTCCCCTTTTCAGAGGGGGAAAATCCTCGAAGTGAAACTCCATCATCGAACACGGTCACGAATTCAAATTCTAATGCCGGCAATACGACACCAACTTCACAAATTGTCACAATACCTACTAACAACTCCGCGGGTCCAGATGAAGAGGAAGTCGAACCTCCAGCTGTGGTGGTTTATTTGGTTGAACCTTTTTCGCTAGGAGGCCCCGAAGATCCTGACCGTCGAAGACTCGCGATTTTGGCTTTATTACGTGCATACTCAGCAGCAGTGAACAGCATGCCTGAAAACATTAGATCCAACATCAACGTTCAGGTAATATTTCGCTTACCTTATAATTATTCATATTTTTAACCATCCGTGACCTCCGTTATTTATACCGCTTCCGTCACTCCCCTGGGTCTTTTATGTCGAGATCTATTTTTTCTTTTTATCTTATAAGCTTTCAAAAAATCTGAAAAAATTTAGAGATATTTCGCAGGTTCTTTACTACACGATCCAATAGTTTTTAAAGTTGAATGTTAACAGTTTTTTTGGTTTAATAACAATCCCTTTCGGAGATATTTCAACGTGAAATTTCGTTTGTGCCATAAAAGCACATGGAGGTCACAGAGGGTTAAGTACAATTAATGTTTTCATAACATTCTACATGTCTGTTCACAGTTAATATCCTTGGAAAGTATAATGGAGTTAGGGCGAGCGAGGGAAAGGCGAAAAATTCAGGATGAGATGAGAGCATTGGCGTTAAACGTGTTTCTGCAGGGCCGTCGATTGTTAAATCATAACTCTACGGTAAAAAGTCTCACTGGCTTTGGTACTGCTGCCGCCGCAGATATTTTCCTTAAGAGTAAAGATGTAAGGGTTTACCTTCTATTTCTTTCCTCCGATCGATTCTTTAAATTTAGTCGCCAGGGGTTGTTGTTTGTGGCGCTTGACACGACGGTAATAGCGAACAATAAACAAGCCTATGACTTGGTGATGTTCAGTCTTATAGTAATACTCTTGCAATTATACATTAGGAACGGAACAGAGCTCCATACCGGCTGTACGCGCCGGCCTATGTCCTGGCTCCTCTGCGGGCAAAGAGCGAGGCACCCGAGTCCTTTGGCATCGCTGGACCAGAGGAATGCGCAGTTCTTTATCTGAGCTACTGCCTTAGCGAGGATCAGTCGTGGCTGCTCGCAGTCGCGACCGACGATAGGGGTGAGATATTCGAGACGGCCACTATCAACATCGACATACCCAATCGAAAGAGGAGGAAACGCGCATCGGCCAGACGAATTGGATTGCAGAAATTAATGGATTTTATCCTCAGCGTGATGTCTCAGGGTGTAAGTATTTACACATATTTATCTGTAAATTAACCCCTTGCCCTACGATTTTCTTTACGTCTGCAAACTACGGATAAATCGATACAAGTAAATACGAGTACATGTTTACTCGATATGTTTGTTTCGATACCGAGTACTTTCGGTTGCGATACCCAGTAGGTATCGAAAAAAAGTACTCGTATCGAATGGAGTGAGTATCGACTCATCAACATTTGATATTGCAATTACCTTCAACACAAAAAAATGTTGTTTATATTGTTTATTAAAATATATGCTTATATTAATTAAGCAATGTGTATTTAAATATTTTCAATATTGAAATAATAAATGTATATATATATTTATATATTTAAATACATATAATTTTTCGAGATTTCAAGGTCATCGAATTTTTTTTAAATGGGACTACATATTTTCACTACAACACTCTTATAGCATATAAAAAAACAAATCCAACGAGGTGCAATATGTTGACCTTCACGTGACCTTTAGCGAAAGAATCATGAAATGTTTGTCAGTAAGCTCAGTACGCGTTCGGGGGCCAGTAAATGAAGGAATTTCAATTTCATTGGAATAATGTACCGTGTAATTGTCCCTTGTGCTTGTAAACAGACATTCGTATTCTCCTTTCATCGGCTGAAGTATGTTTACAAGCATTATTATCAAAGTAAATCTTA